GACAGCTAGTCCCAGGACAGACAATACTTTGTCACATACATCAAGTGGACCTCCAGTGAGCTTGCAAAGGCCCTGACCTTATGTAGTCCCCTTTCATTGAGAATAAACAGGCTTGATAATATTGAGTTTGCTTAAAAAGAGAAGATGGCAATTTATTAACTATTGTGTCTGATTAAAAAATTTTAAGAAACTTTAAAATCAAAGAAAAGATCTTGTTTATTATTAAATCTGTATGTAACAACAACCAGTTTTTAAAAATACCAAGTTTAATAAAATTTAAGTTTTATTTTATACATTCTGACTACTCAGATTGTATATAATCTAAGCCAATACAGAACCAAGAAACTAAAACTCAGTGGTTTGATTAGAAGGGAGATAGATGATTTTAGGTTCTTAAGGGGAGAGAGCAAAATAGGTCTAGAACAGATTGGCTTTTTATTGGTTCACATGTTCTCAAGTGCTTGCTTTTCCAAATTTGCTAACTCCTTTCTGAAAAAGCAGTGGATCCCAAAAAAGTACATATTCTTCTTCACAAGAAGAATATCTTGCTATGTTTGAAGTGTGTGAATTAGACTTGGAGAGAGAACTAAGCAGTCATGGCAAACGTTTAATTTCGTGATGCTTTATCTGATGAATTCTACTTTATTTAATGTTTGTCACTAACTTGTACTACACTTTAATATATTATAAGTATCTCAGAACAGTTTGTATGCTATCTGCTCCTCATGAATGCCTTGATTCTTTTTTTTTTTTAATTTTTTTATATTTATTTATTTTTAAAGAGGCATGTATTATTTATTTATTTGTTTGTTTATACAAGCACTGGGTACAGTCAGAAGCGCAGGAGGGTGAGAGAATTCACCAGAGCCAGAGCGGGGAGCAGAGCAGGCAGAAGGACCGAAGTACACTGCTGAGGGGAGCAGCGGGCGTCAGGAGAGGTCTGCGCGCCATGTGGGACCCTCCTCCAGTGGCCCGGGAGCAGCCGGGGATCAAACCAGCGCAGCAGAGGCCGCGAACTGCTTCGCAACCCAGTGCTCAACCGCTGCGCCACTGGGGAGGCCCTGAATGCCTTGATTCTTATCCAAACTATCTCTCTAACTAGCTATGTGGCTTAAGGCAAATTCATTTTGGACGCAATTTATTCATCTATAGAATGGGGATATCCATGAGAAGTGGTTTAGATAACTTCTAAACATAAATTTCTGTAGCTCTAAGAATTTAGAGGTAACTCATAAGGAAATTGGAATCTTTGGAAGATTTTAAAGTCCTGATATGATGAAAGCTCATCTTTACAGTACTATTAGTTACATTAATTTGAGAAGAACTGGAAGGACCATTCCTTTCACACAGATGAAACAGTTAAACATGTTTCTGAGTATGAAACATTACTATTTCTTTCAAAGTGCTCATTTCATTTTATTTTTTAAAGATTTATTTATTTATGCATACAAGAACTGGGGTCTAGGCCAGAGGTGTGGGCGGTGAGAGGGTTCACCAGAGACAGAGTTGGTAATAGAACAGGCAGATCTGCTGAAATACACTGCTGAGGGAAGCAGCAGGCAAGACAGGAGAGGTCTGCTGCGCCATGTGGGTCAGCTCCCTGGCCAGGCATCCAACTTGTGCTGCAGTGGCTGCAGATAGCTTCACAGTGTTGTGTCTTAACCCCTTGCACCATCAGGGAGGCCCCAATGCTTATTTTAAATTAATGATTTTGATCTTAACTGACAAGTTACATACCCTGTTTAGGACACACCTAGTACTTAAAGTAACGTCAACCTTTATCTTGGTAAATCCTCTGTTCTTTTAGATTAAAAATCATAGCAAGGAAATAAGATACGTTAGAAGATATTTATGTGACAGAACTGAAGAAAGCTCTTTGTATTACTACAACTAGCAAAGGCAACTGGGAACTTAGGCTAAACCATCAGATATGGAAATCAGGCCACCGCCAGATTCTATCTATAGCATCAACCCTGCCTTGACTGGCTAAGTGCACTGATCCCCAGCTGAGGGATTATCTAAGGACATGCTTCCCACGTCTCTCCTTGGCCTTTGCACTTTATATTTCATTTATGTCAGGATCTGTAGAGATCTAGGAAGGAGATACAAAACTCAAATCAACCAGTTTTTCTTCATAACAACTTAGATAAATTACTTAACTAAGGGAAAAAATGTGGTTTGCAAAATTGGTACATTTCAGCTATCTTCCATCTTATGTGTTTTTCTACAACTAATACTTGAAAGTTGACTGTAAAAAATAGAAATAGTATTATACACTAATGAAAGCCATTATAGATATGATTAGATGTTCTTGTGAGAAAAGTTCATATGAGTAATAATTTTAAGATCTGAGAATATTAATAATCGGGCGTGTTTAAGTTGTGACTTTTATTTTTAAAAATTTGAGTTATCCTCGAAGGAGTCACAAGAACATATGTTGTGACACTTGACTATCTCTTTAAATCATACTTGACTATCTCTTCATGAAGTGATCTATTTGATAATGGGAAAGAATAGAAACTTACTCCTTTTCTGAGTTTTTCTTAAAAGAGACATGTTTGAATCTGGTTGAAATGAATTGATGATGGGCATGCCTATATGTTTTATGGTTTTTCTGTGGGCTGGGCCAGGTGACATTAGAACTCTACAGTTCAGCTCAAATGATTGAAAGTATGTGAAGGCATGCATTCTCTCATGGGGTATGATCAGGTCAGACAGACTCGGAGAGGAGCCTTTTTTTTTTTTTTTTTTTTTAATGAAAATAAGTGGATGACAAGAAGCTGGGATTTTAATTCCAATCCTATCATTAATTAGCACTGTCTTTTGGATAAGAATCTTAATTCCTCTAAGTCTTAGTTTTTTATTTTATAAAATTAGGAGGGTGGTCACGATCACTAAAATTCTTTCAGTTTCAAAGTTAATTAATTCTAAAATAGTGTATCAACTATTTTCTTTTTTTTTTTTTTTTTAAAGATTTATTTATACAAGCACTGGGTACAGTCAGAAGCACGGGAGGGTGAGAGAATTCACCAGAGCCAGAGCAGGGAGCAGAGCAGGCAGAAGGACCGAAGTACACTGCTGGGGGGAGCAGCGGGCTGCAGGAAAGGTCTGCTCGTCATGTGGGGCCCTCTTCCCGTGGCTGGGGAGCAGCCGGAGATCGAACCGGTGCTGCAGAGGCTGTGGGCAGCTTTGCAACCCAGCATTCAACCGCTGCGCCACTGGGGAGGCCCTCAACTATTTTTCTCATGGAAAGGTCACAGAATGTAGCTTTTCTTTATTAATGTTTCCCTTGCTTGAATTTCATGAAAACATTTTGTCTGCTACTGAATAATTAGGACATTGATAACTTGTGGGTATTATAAAAACCCAATTGATGTTGCATGTATGAATGCTAAGCTCAGAAGAAAGTTAATCATATTGTCCTTACATAAAATTCCTCTCTGCCTGTAAATTTCATTCACTTGGACACTTCAGTAATTCACACCACTATTAGGCATCTGATTAATTAATTTTCCAAAGCACTACTTTCTTTTGGTAGTTGAAGAGTTAACTAAACCAGTTCAATAGTTTGATTCAGTCTAGACCTTCTTGGGTGTCTAGTTTTATGTTTAATCAATTTTTCTCTCCAAATAAATCACTTTAAACTATCATTTTACTAGAAACTATGAGTAATTGAGTTTTATTTGGTTGAGTGAGCATATTTTATTCACCATTGGAGCAGACATCCCTGCTAGACTCTGAGCTCCCAGGAGATGGACATATGTCTGATTTTGCCTCATCAATGCATTATACCCTTTATACTTACCACAGGTTGTTTACACAGAATGGCTGTTCAACAATGGCTATTCAACTCATTGTTAAATGAATGAATGATATGACCTTACTCTTATGGAGTTGTTAGGTATTAAAAATGTGTAATATATTATTTTCTATTTGAAAATTTATAATCATAAGCTACTTTATATTTGGAAGTGATTGTACAAGACTACCATCTATTCCATAGTATTTAATTGGATTGAAGGAAAATGTCTTACTCAAGATCTATAACATGCTCTGGATAGTGTTTTAAACTCCCTCCAGAATATTGAGCTAGGCAATTAAATGTGTTATAACCAGATGAAATGGGACATTTACTGGCAATAGAAAAGTGGCTGGAGATTCAAGAAGTGTTAGTTTGCAATTGGTTGCCTTTCTTCAGTCATTTTTTCAAAAGAGCCCAATCCCTTGTTGTTTTTTTATTTTAACCGTAGCTTCCTTACCTATTTTCATCTTCACATACATAATTTTCTTTTCTTCAGCTCTCCAACAGTTACCTCATTTCCTGTACTTCCCTCGGTATATTAATTACCTCTTGGAGATATTTGCTTTCTACACAAGCAGAGGGCAAGGACACCCACTTTAATGTTATTGTCTACACACTGTTGAAAGGGTGGCTCTGAACCCTGACTTACTTCTCATTCCTACCAGTGGAGCTGGACCCCTTCTAGAGGGAGGACAACACCTCTGCTATTTTTTTTTTTTTTTACCTTTGCTATTTTTGGGTCACCCAAATCCAAGCTGCCAACTTCATTGAGGTGTTCAGTCATTCTTTAGCTCATCACAAGTTAATCAGTTCCCTATTCTGACTCTCATTGCTATTAGTCCATTGCCACTTCGATGTTGCAGTAGCTTTGGGGGTAATGGGAATAAGAAGTGTTCAGGAATGTGTTTTGGGACTAAGAGAATGTGTGTGAATTTATTTAGCAGTTATTTCTTTGATACCCACTGCATATCAGGTTTGTCTCATAACTGGGGAAATTCTTAATGTCGGTGACCAGCTGCAGTGTTAGAATGGATGACACAGAGATCATCCTTCCCTCTCCCCTCTCTTGTGGTTAAGGTCGTGGTTCATGGTTCCCCTCGTTGGCAGCAACATACGGATGTATCTATATCTTATTTTTTTCAATGAACCAATTTAAAAAATTTTGACAACTACCCCTTTGATGTTTATTTTGTGACAGATGATTCAAGAGAGCCGATTTCTCATAGAAATGGCAGACGCGGTCCAGGAAAAGATTGTGCAGTGTCAGAAAGCAGGTAATATTTTTATTTTTTTTCTTAGAAACCATGATAATAATTCTTGGCAGATTTTTAGAAAACATTTCTGTTGGGAAACTCATATGTTTTATGCCATTGCTTAACTATACTTTGAATTATGGTTGAGTGTTTAGTACAGAAGCAATCCAGTGATAGTGGGTATATGTAGAGGTTTGTTAAGTGTATAAAGGAAGCGATGTCTGAAGATATCTAGAGAGATGAGGGTTTCTGAATCTACTTTTGTGGTTTGGGAGCCTATCAAAATCATTTACTACCAGTATGGAAGCTGTGGTTCCCAACTACCCCTTAAAAACTCCTTCACTTTTACATTTGGAACCATAATCCTATTAATCATCTAAACTTTTGCCTTGTTTAAGATTTGTTCTTTCTTTAAGCATGGCATGGGCTGCATGTTTGTGAGGACACATACCTGTTTATTTTATTCCCCTGCACCCACAGCTCTGTAATTTTATATCTTTTGGATTCATATTCTCCTTTATCCACACACGTAATAGTGATTATGATGAGGAAGGTGACCACAGTGATCACTGCTTGATAAAGATGCATGTGATGTACTAAGCAAATTCACTCTGCTACTTAGTCCTCCTGACACCTCTACCAGGTAGGCATAATTATATTCAATTTACAAATGAGGTATCTGGGATTCTTTAGAGATTGAGTGAATGATCCATATCAACACGTGGTAGAGATGACCTTTAAATCCAGATTCAATTTTTAAAATGATGCTTTTCATGACTGACCAGCAGGCTTAAATGTTTCAGCTGACAGAAAGCACAGGATAATACCAGATTCTTATATACTGCTCCTATGTGCCAGGCAGTACTTTGAGAGCTTAATAGTATTAACTCATCTAATCTTCACCACAGTCCCATGAGGGAAACACTCAAATCCAAGCTGCCAACTTAATTGAGGTGTTCAGTAGTTCTTTAGCTCATCATAAGGTAATTCTCTTTCTGTCATTGCTATTAGTCCAATACCACTTACTTTGATGTTTCAGTAACTTTTAGACTGAGGGAGTGGAATAAGAAGTGCTCATGAATGTGATCTAGGACTGAAAAATGTGTATGCACTTATTTGACATTTATTTGATACCTACTGGTGTCAGACCTGTTAAATAAATGGAGTTTATTTCACCATAGATTAGGGAACATAATCTCAGAGAATTACAGGACTTGCTGATATTCACAGAGCTAGTAGGTAATGGAGACAGAGTAGGCGCTGGGTTCCATAATCACGCTCTCACCAGGTGCTGTTTGTGAGGTTTGCATCAGGAAAGTTCATGTGGTTTTAGGCTGCATTAATAAAAGTATAGCAACTGGAACATAGGGACCTCCCTAGTGGTGCAAGGTGTTAAGATGCAGCACTATGAAGCTATCTGCAGCCTCTAAAGCACACATTCTATCCCTGGCCAGGGAGGTGACCCACATGGCACAGCAGATCTTTCCTGACTCGCCCGCTGCTCCCCTCAGCAGTGTATTTCAGTCAATCCGCCTGTTCTTCTTCCCACTCTCTCTGGTGAATTCTCTCACCCCCATACTTCTGGCCTGTACCATAGTTCTTGTATGTATAAATAAATAAATCTTTAAAAAAAAAAAACTGGAACATGAAGAGTGGTACAAGTTCCTTTCTTATTTGAGTGCGATGAACCTGGATGGAGGTTGCTAGTAGCGCAGCTCTGGGAAACTGCACGATGCAGTGCTCCTTTTTTGGATGTCATCCTTAAGGAAGAGACATTATTAGTAAGGTGAAACATTTTAGAATGTTTAATCTGAGGAAGAGAAGAATATAGTAGACTTTGTCATTTTACTTCAAACATCTAAAGGAATTCACTATGGAAAAGAGATTCAACATTGATGTTCTGGTGTAGCTAGCACCAAGGGGTAGAAGCTCCAGGAAAAGAGATTTTGACTCAGTATCAGTTATAGTTTTCCAAAGAAGGAGTGAGCTACCCAGAAGGAAGTGTGATTCCCATCCCTGAGGTGCTAAGAGCCGAAGAAACAGATGATGGTGATGTTTTTTTTTATAGTATTTAAGCTTGCAAAAATGGCTGAGTTAAAAATAACTTTAAGGCCATTCCCAAATCTGAAACATTGGGGTGTTTCCAGGAATGCTATTTTAAAAACTTGTATTTTTACTCAACAGTTACTAGTTATCTTTGTTATCTATACGGGCTCTGGGGCCTACTTTCATGTCATGTGGATGTTTCATAAGGCAAAATGAGGTATGTGCAACCACCACATATTTTTGCAATCCACATATTATACCATTTCATATAAAAACCAGGCAAGGACAAATAAGATGGATATAACCTGCTGGAAAATTGCTTAACTTCTCATGTCTTTTCTTATATATCCTGACTGTTTAAAATTTAATTTAATTTGATGCATTGATTATTGCTTATTTGTCCCTAAGAATTGCCAATTGATGGGCATGAACAGAATGTGAAGGAGAGTTTAATTTTAGAGATTTTAATTTTAGGAGAGTTTAGTTTTATATTACAGAAAATTCTGAGGAAAGCACAGAAATGGGAAGTAATTTTTTTCCTGATAATATTTCCATAATAAATGACGATTTTCTGAAATTTATGCTAAAAATTCTTATATATTCTCTTTTCAAAGGGATGGAGTTTCATGAGGAACTTCATAATCTGGGGGCAAAAGAAGGCTTGAAAGGAAGAAAGCTGAACAAGGCAACCGAGAGCTTTGCTTGGAACATTACCGTATTGAAGGTAAATTAAGTATCCAAATGTAGAGAAGCATCAGTGGTTGAATATGGTGATTTGAATTTTGAAGTATTGTCACCCAGTTACCAGGTCATGTTCTAAGTGATGGGGAGATGCGTACTGGGATTGATACACTTTGGCCCTAATAGGGCAACAGGCTTATGGAGAAGTAGAGGACAGCATGATCTAATTCCATTGCCTGGTGCCTCTGTGTAAGTGTGTGTGTGTGTGTGATGCATGTTTACTCACATGAACACTTCTTTTCAAGTCAATAGGCTATTAATGCCAAATGTTGATCCAGAAGGATCCAGGACAAGTGATTTGCAAGCGTCTTACAAAAATAATATCCAAAGCCATTTAGGATTTTTTTTTTAAGGACAACACCTCTATGTGTAAATTTATTTCTGCATATAACTTTGTAAATAGGCTTCTCAAGATTATGATTTGCTTTGTTGAAAATTAATTTTAGGATTTTCAAGTAAAGGTGATACTTTTCATATTTTTTTACATTAAAGGAGAAATTATTCAGGCAGCTAATTATTCTTGACAGTGGGAGAAAAACAATCACAAACAAAATTAATAATTATTGACCTTTAAAGAATACTTACCATATGCCAGGTACTGTTTTATAGGGTTTCTACAAATTAACATTTTAATACTCACAAGGCCCCAAGCTGTTATTATTCTCATTTTAAAGGTAAGAAAACAGAAGCATTGAAAACTCATGTATGTTACCCAAAGTTGTAAATAGTGGAGCTGGTGTTTGTACGCAGGGATCTGGCAGTAGGGCCTGTGTCTTCTCTGTGAAAATACTCTGTGAACCTTAAGACACAAATGTTTATTAAAGTGCTGTCCTCAGACATTTGTTAAGCTTCTGCTACATGCTGGACTCTGCTAGGCATTAAGGTTCTGTGGAGAACAAAAAAGATACAGACTCTGACCTCATGAAGCTCACATATAGGTTCAGAAGGTGGGGTAGGGAAAATAGGCATCATTTGCTTAATGGGCAGGGGGGAGCTATCTTGTTAATATAAAGAGGAACTCATGATGAAACTGGCCCCCTACATGGCAGTGTGAGCCCTGTACAAATGCTTTCTGTTCAGCAGATATGTACGTAGGTTTGTTAATGTGCTGATCACAGAGAAAGGTGCTGGGGATACACATGAAGAGTAATCCCTGCTTACCGGCCTAGAGTATAGGCCTAGGGTACGAGGAAAGAGTATAGGCCTAGGGTACGAGGAAAGACAGACATGTAATGAATAATGGCCATCCGCTATTCAGCATTTCTGAAGTGACAAGTACTCATGGCTAAATAGTTTAAATACACCTCCCCTTTCCTCTTCATAACAGCCATGTGACCTCACAACAACATATGCTGACCCTGATAGAACTCTCCATCTCAAAGATGAGGAAATTGAGGGTTAGAGAGATTTAAGTTTTTGCCTTCAGTTTGTAAATGACAGAACTGAGCTTTAACACATGCCATGGTTCTAACTACTACGTCTGTTCTCCTGCCTTCTGTAAAACTCAATTCCTGTGACTGAGTCCCATCCAGTCCAGGCAGCCTAGTGCAGGGATGAGAGCAGAGGCTCTATGTGCAGATTGTCAGCTGTGAGGTTTCTGCCAAGTTATATAATCAATCTAAGTGTGTTAATACTTGCAGTCTGGGTTTTATGGGACTTAATTTAGGTAATTCATACAGAAAATCTAAGTCACAGTGCGTAAGACTAGACTGTAAATATGTATACATATATACATGTATACATCATTTACGTATACGAGCTATTAATTTTTATTTGTTTGCTAAGTGATGTTGATCACTGAAAGAACAAGATTTTTGTTGTTTATTTTTAAAAAGATTTAATTATTTATGCATAAAAGAACTGGGTATAGGCCAGAGGTGTGGGGGGTGAGAGGATTTGCCAGAGGCAGAGTAGGGAACAGAACAGGCAGATTGACTGAAGTACACTGCTGAGGGAAGCAGAGGGAGAGTCAGGAGGGAGAGTTAGGAGAGGTCTGCTACGCCATGTGGGTATCTCCCTGGCCATGGCTCGAACTAATGCTGCAGTGGCTGTGGATAGTTTCATAGGTTGCGTCTTAACCCCTTGTGCCATCAGGGTGGCCCTGTTGTTTATTAACTTCTGACTTTAGCCCATTCTATTTTCTGAAGCTCGGTTGTGTGTGTGTGTTTAGTTTAGTGGCAGGAGCTGATTGCTAGATGGGGCCTAGTAAATGCTGTGAAAATTGTTCTAAAGAAGGTCTTTTGAAAGAGAATTGACCTATTATTACAGCTCATTTACTGTTGGCATTTAAACTTGAGCACTGGGAACTTAAACAAGAATATTGAACTTTTCCAAATTTCTAATATCTTCCCTGTTTCGTTTAGTGGTCTTGTTAATCAAGTATCCTTTTCCTAAGTACTGACAAATGGCCTCCTTAAAATTTGAATTTTTAACTGAAAGAGAACAAATTGGGCTCTGTTGGAGACTGTTTACTCCATTGGTGCCTCTGAAAAGATCTTTTTCTTTAAAGCACTTCCTTTATTTCTTGTATCTTAGATTTGAAACTCTTAGTTTGTTCTGTTCTCCAGCCTTGTATTGATTTTTAGAGCTCCTCAAAGTTTTCCAATAAACTCTTTATTCTGAATCTTCCTTGAGCCAATTTCCATTGCTTTGCAATGGCTGGCTAAATAATAACCACCCTGGTAAGATACACTCCTTGAATTAGTAAAATATGGTAGGCCTTATCTAAAATTCTTCATTGACTGCTGAAAAATTTCCCTTTTATGTATGCTTTCCACTATCTAGGGACATGGAGGGGATGGATTGACTAATATTGGTTGAATATATGAATTCATGCAGCTAAAAATATTTAAATCCAATGTGATTTCCAACAAGTAAAAAAGTTGCTGGAAGAGGTGAGAAATGTGTCCTATGGTTATTACCATAGGTGGTGACAAGCTGAGATAAAAAAAATGAACTCTCTAGTTTATGTTTTTTGCAATTCAATATTACATGGCTCTGATATTAATAAACAACAGGGGAGCTAGAGAAAAATTTGCAGAGACAAAGATGAATGACTTTACAATATAACAAATATGAATCATGATTAGTGTCCAGATTTTCCTAGTCAGAGATGAGCACTTAGAATCAGCATAGAGGCTGAAATCAAAATGGTCTTGGAAGCTCCCACACATTTTCTTTTAATTCATATTTAAGTACTATGCATGAGCTTAGAGTCGGAAATTGCTTAGCAGATCTTTTGCATTTCCCTACACATTTGTCTTATGCCAGGGACCAAAGATCACATTCATTTTCTTTTCCCTTTCTCTCTCTTTCACTGCTGAGCAAAATATTGAACTCCTCACATAGCCACTCCACTCACTTGGGATGGTGGGTGATTCTTGTCTCAGAGATCTGGTCTTCAGCCCCTTCACGATGACCACTGGTCCATCTCATCCCACTCTCACATTCACAGTTCTTTCCATCTGTTTCTTCACCATATTTATTTTCAGAAATAATTTTGCTTGTTATTAACATAATATAAAAATCTTATAGTAGATTTCTTCCTATTCTTTAAATCTTCCAAAAAGAGATAGAACAAAGGCATTTTCATAACCAATCTATGTAGTAAATTGTTACTAATATTGAAAGTGTTTCACTTATGAGAATTCCGAAGATCTCCTTTTGAATGAGAGCTATGAACTGATACTATATCAATAATGAAACACAATTTTATACAAGTTGAATTTATTTAATGTCTGGAATTCCATCCAGAGTGATGTGACTATTTAAGCACAAAAAAGAACTTTCATTATCAAGTGTTCTCACCTTTAAGACTGAAATAGAAAATACCTGAAAGTAGCATGCAGTTAGCCTTCCCAATATTTGTTTTTCTAACTTGACTTTTGACTATTTCAAATAACTAAATTCCATCATCTTTTCATTCTTAAAAAATTTGATGAAAAAATTAATTTTATAAGACTAGCGATCTATCAAGTATTGATATAAATATATAAGTATAGGTACATGAAGTAGCTCTAGTAGTTGAACCAGAGCTTAAAAAGAAGTAATAGGGATAAGAAGTGACTGAATTCTTATTTATTCATGATTTCTGGTAAGGATGAATAAAATTATTTTATCAATGGATACTTCTATGAATTGATATATATTTGTACTTTCCTTAGATAGAGTTCCAGCTTATACTTTAATACATTCCAGTGTGTGCCATAAAAAAATTGGATCTTTCTTAAGATTCATGTTCAGTAGATATGACTAATCTTTTCCACCCATTTTTGATATTTTTCACTATTTAAGTCTTTTTTCTCCTTCTGGTTTTGTCTTGACAACATTTCATTTTCTTTGTGAAGAGCAGAGGCTGAAATTTTCATTTCTCCTCCTTGGGTACTTGTGTTTTAACCAATTAAGCCCTAAATTTCAGCCTCATATCTGAGGATTCTTGCTACATAAGGGAAGGTACATGAATATTTAGAGTAGTAATATGCTTTCTAATAGAGCAACAGACACACTTGAAATCTCTGCCCACTGTTAAGAGACAATAAAGAAGGGAAACAAGATAATGATCGAATGGGAAAATGTGTGGTGGGGTGCATGTTGTGTGTGTATTAAAGCTGGCTCTTCTGACATCTTTGGTGATTGTGCGCCAGGGTGCGGGTATTCTGAGGTTATATAAAGAAGGAATATGTCTAGTGTCCTCCTTGCTGTCCACTGAGAACTTCCCTAATAGCTGTTGTTGCAGTGAATGCAAGAGAAAGGCTAAAGTTTCCTTTTAAG